CCCAGTAGAATCTCATAAAAATAGGGTTTGGTGAGGGTGCGTGTATGAAGAGTTGCAGACATTAGTCCTACTTAAAAGTAGAAGCACTGTTCCAATAGACCCCTACCTCAAGCAATACAAAAAACAAAGAGCAAGTAAAATTGAAAAAAGTGCAAAGAGACAAAATACCCACAAATGGCTTCAACACAAAGACCCCAAACCTAAAAAAAACTACCACACCGGTCCAAACAACTAACAAACTTCTTAAGTTCAACTCCCACATCGGCTTTGTAAGCTTATATTGTGTTTATAATACCTTAGGTACCTAACTCTTTGAGTTAACTTTTGGGATTAAACTGGGTCCAAGTCTATTACAGAGTATTTCACATAGTGTTAGAGCTAAGGTCATCGATGTTGAGACTGCCTACAGTTATCTAAGTCACATGCTATGAGGGCATGTTGAGTTCAACTCGCACATCGATTTTGAAAAGTTTATATTGTTGTGTTTATAATAGCTTAGTTACCTCAACCCATTAAGTTGACCTTTGGGGTTGAATTAGACCAAGGCCTATTATTTCACACTACCCAACAAAAAGTGGAGACACTCATATCTAATGTTAATTCCTCTGTAAGGGCCACAAGATACAAGTCTTTCCTAATCACCTCATTCCATTCTTCCTAAGTCTACCCCTTCCTCCATACTTACCCATATCGTAAGCCTCACATACGAGGGCATTTACACAACGCATCTTCACATGACCAAACCATCTAAATCCAACCTCTTGTACCTTATCCTCTACAAGTGTCACTCCCATCCGTCCTCGGATAATGTCATTTTGGATCCTATCCAGTCTTGTCTAGAAACACGTCAACCACAACATTTGATGAACATGGAACTTTGTAAATGGCAAAACACCTTGAAATCTTCTTATCACACAAGCCACCAAAGCAAGCTTCCACAGCTTCCCAAGCCGCTCCAATATGGTGAAACCGTCTATCTCCCCAATGTAACCCCTAGTCTTCCAAAACTGCACTATATCTCATCCGGCCCCAAGGCTCTCTTTCTTCCGACCTGCATTTAAAAGACCATGGAAGTATTTTCCCCACTAAATGGACTGCTGCTTCAAACAAAAACCTACCATCACTGTTCTTCACACATCTCACATGCTCTAGATCTCTCTCCTTCCTCATAAACACCTTCACCCCTCTGTGCTCATAGTTATCCCGGCATCGCCTAAGCCTCTAGACGCCCTTCTACTCTCGCCTTGTCGTATTTTGCATACCGCGCCTAGGCGTCACCTTGGCCTCACCTTTCCTCGCCTAGGGGTTGCCTTAGCCTTGCCTTGGCTCGCCCAGTCCAGTATTTTTGTTTTTTTACTCTAGTGCTTTAATTTTTAAGTGTTTTAAACCAACTCTAGTTCTTTGTTTATTCAATGCTTTGTAAATTACTTTATTTTCAAGTTAATTTTTTTCTACTTTATCTTCTTAATTAATACTCGGTGCTTAATTTTTTAAAATTTAAAATGATTAATTGATAAAAGTTTTTTTCCACTCTGTTTTTAGGAAAGTAACTTAAGTAGTTAAACTTTGATAATTTAAAAAAATTTAAACTTTACCAACTACAATATATAATTTGTTATATTTATATTAGTGCTTTTAATGTATAGCAATTCTCCTATATTATGTGTCGCCTAGGCGGTCACCTAGTCGACTAGGCGTCCTAGCAGTACCCCAGCGTTGCGCCTCAACCTGGCGCCGTGATAACTATGTCTGTGCTACACCTCGCCCATCCCAAGATACAACCTCAAGTTTGCATTAGTAATGAAAGTTGTCCTACCCACACGCCAACAAAAATAAGAGACATGTTATCAAGAAAACAACAAACAATAAAAATAGACTACCCCAAGAAGTAGTCAAGACTTGGGGCCGTGATAACTATGTCTGTGCTACCCCTCGCTCATCCCAAGATACAACCTTACGTTTGCTTTGTAACGAAAGCCGCCCTACCCACACGCCAACAAAAATAAGAGACATGTTAGCAAGAAAATAACAAACAACAATAAAAAAAGACCACCCAAAGTAGTCAAGAATAAAATAATGAGTAACAACAATAAAACACACGGAAGTAATAACTACAATAACACATAGTTGAGCAACAACACCAAAAAACACACAATAAATGAAAAAATACTTGCTTATGCATATGTATCAAACGGGATACATCTGAACTTAACTTCATTGTGAATTTACAATTTAATATAATAATAGACTATGAGATTGTTCAAATTCAAAGAAAATGTCACAATTGTTACACATAATATAGGGCAGAGCATCATAAAAATTTAAACATAAACAGTCTGAGGTGATTGAAAAATAAGAACATAGGATTGCATGTGATAAACCTATTACATTTGGCACATGAAAAATTCATAAATGTTGATGCTAATAAATCAATTTGATTCTGATTTTGTAAAATCAGTTATATATATGTGAAAACAAACTTGCCATTAATAGGAGTGGTTTTCAAAGGAACTTCTTGATGTCTAAAACATATGCAGTAACAGTTCAATTATCTGTAACAAATGTGCAAGCAGATTATGGTTATATTCTTCTTGCTTTAAAACAATGCAACCATACTCGATGGGGAGTTGAATTTCGGCTATCCCAGTAGTCCACTGTGTAGAGCTTTCTTCTGAATTCCGCCTCTTTACCTTACGACAAGAAAAGATCAACAAAGTAAACATAAACATACACCTGCGAGAACTTAGAGAATGTTTGGATCCTGGAAAATATAAATGAAAAGGGTGGAAATGGAAAAGGAAAATGAGATACTCCCCTGTTTGTCCCATTTTGCCATTTGGTCCGTCCCAATAGTATGAGTGATTTCATGTCTAGGTGACAGGTGAAAATACTAAAGAGGAACTATGGAATACGATAATTGGAAATGCTCTGAATGATGCATGCTCTATAAATACACAGTATAAATGCTGGGGAATTGGTAAAGGTGATATGTCAATTAGATCAAAAAAAACATAATAGAACTTTGCAAACAATGTCCTGGGGAATACAGACAGAAAACTGTGCTCACTTTAAGATGCTCCGGGATCTGGTAGAGTTCATCCTCAGCATGTTTAACTTCACCGTCAGCTTCATTTGTCGCAGTAATATCCCCGCCCCTTTTCTTTGCTAATTCTTGATCAATGTATCTCAGCCTACAAAATGAGGCATGATAAGTATATTAAGACTCTTCCACAATCTACTTTTTGGAAAAATGATTTCTGTATGAATAGATCATCACTCCTTTAGAAAGTAGAGGTTTGCAAAAAAGCAAGTACAAAGAAGATCACATCAAAACTTATTCTGTGTGGGTGTTAGAGTCATGATTAAATTACATATTGGGATCTTCAACCATGACAGCAGTTTCCTGTGCGAAGGTATCCTGCAACACCAGGTCATCCTTCTCCCCATCTCCTTCACCCTTTTCGTTAACCGGCTTGGCGACTAACCCTCCAGCTATTCCATTGCTAGTCGCGCCGGGGCCACAGCCTGGAGCAGGTTGCGCAGCCGTCTGAACGGCGGGAATGCCTAGCTTCTTTTCCCTCTGTTTCTGAAGAAATTTCACCTCCTCTAAAGCAGATCTGTATGACAAAACACAGATAGTAGTGCGTATGTGCGCGTAAAACCCTAAAATATAAATGGATCGGATCTCAACCGAGACAATTCGATACTTTGAGAGAGTCCATTCCACGGGGGCATACCTCCGATCCTGCTCGTCATCTTCCTCTTCATCGACAAAACTTCTTTTGCGGAAACTCTTTCCCGCTTTCATCTCGTATATCTTTCAACTTTCTACTCTGTGGTTCAAACTCTCCAATCCAACGTAGTGATTAGTCTGATTACTGATCACGGATTGGTGAGGTACTAGTAAGTAAAGTTTTGACTTCTTTGTATTAATTAAGATTGATTTTTTATCTAATATTAAACAAAAGTTATATACTCCGTAATATATAAATTAAAAATAATAATTTTTCAAAAAAATTTAAAAGATAAGTTTAATAAAGTTCTCGTTATAAATTAAATTGTTTGTTTACAATTTAAGGTATCAAAATTCATTCATTTTTTTTATCTTTTTTCGTTAGTTATTTGATAAAATAAAATAATAATATCATTGTCAGTTTTGTAGATCTTTTTAAAAAAAATTAGATTATTATTTATTTTTTAATTCTACACAACTTTTTTATGTAAAATAATTTGAAAATAATTTCAATCAAGTGTCGTAAACTAAAACAAACAATATAAATTGGGACGGGGATGTATAAACTTTATAAAATATTTATGTCATCATGTTGGCTCTTATGAACTCTTTTGATGTATTTTCATTTTCTTTTGTTCCTCAGGATTGTAATAGAGAGCCAAATGTTTCGACAAGATGAGTCGGAATTCAATTTCGAGTGTGAGATTCTCCTCCTGAATTTGATTCTATGTTAATGGAATGAATTTTGGTTTGGTTTTAAAAAGGTAGGTTTCTCCACCAAATATTGCACAACTTTTAATTAGTTAGGAAATGGATGCACTCTTCTTAATTTTGAAGTAATAGTACTCTTCTTCTTTAATTTTGACTCGCGTGGCATAGTTAGTAAGATCTAAACCGAGACAAATGTGATTACCATTCTTATTGTATAGTACATCCAGGTGCTATATATTGAAACTTGAATTGTCACGGATATCCTAGTTTGATATGCCTAGAATTTGAACCCTGTGATGTTTAAAAAGTGTTGAAAAATAAAAAAAAAAGAATGATTAAAATATTATTGAGGAAGCGAAATTTGCTTCAAATAAGGCCGAGTTGTTGTTGTTATTGTATCACTCATATTTTTTTGTTTACCTTGATGTTTATTTGCCAAAATATTCTAATGTGTGTTTTGTTCATTAGATGAGGGTATTTTGGATACATTCTCTCTACTATGTAAGATTTAATAAGATCTCCATTTTTTCCCAGATTGCGTATCGGCTTTTAACAAACATTTTACATCAAATCTCTCTATTTATCAAGTGAAATTTCTACTAAATAGGACTAAAGATGACGAAAATTTTTTTATTCCTTAAATAATATTTTGTGATGGTAGATATTTACTTGAATAATGACTAATAAAAAACGACCAATAATCCTACATTGGAAAATAAAAACATATAATTCTATTTTGAAAAAATCATAATGTTTCAATCCTATTTAGGTAAATTCTTCGTTTATCAAATCTACATTCATCCGCTCCCGAGAATTCATCTCCTCGGTCTCCATGGTTTTCCTTTTCAAGTGACGACATCCATAATTAGTTTTTTGTGGTGTTCTGATCAAGAAAAGAGGGCGCGAGATCTTCCCTCCATCCATAGGGTTCATGCATAACATCTTGCAGAGATACAATTTAATTACGATATTAGGCTAAGGATTCAATTATTTTTTAATGTTGCACCATAACGCAACCATAATGCACTCGTGCATGCACTCTCTATTAAAACAAGCGTTGCAAATTAAAATTTTTTAAAAACATATCATGTATGCATTGTTAGATGCCAACACTAAAATAATAAACTAGAATGAGCAACACATCAAATATTTTTAAAGAACAATGCCATATGATCTTGACAATATATGCATAGTGTAATTCATATTATGCATTGGACAATGATAACTGACAGTGCCAGACATCTTCAATTGCTATTCCATAATGCAACAGCACACACAGTACAGTGCATCCTTTTTGGCCACATGCTTCTCTTTATTTATAATGCAAAAGATGATAATTTTATTCCAATGTTTAATAACTAAACGTTCTAAAACATGAAACACTGCATGCCTTCAACAACCGATACAAAAGGAACATCTGGTCAATGGCTCTCTACGTTGATGGTACTCTAACGAAATCGTCTTCCAAACTCTTTTTTGATGGATCTTTCAACATTGGAGTTTCCTCAAGCATCTACGTTGCCCGTCCTCCAATCTTCAAATGATCATTTAAAACAATCTATGATATTAGAAAGGAAAATATAGCAAATATTTATTACACTTAATTTAAAAATATTCATTTAAAATTTAAATTAAAAAACCACTTCAGAGACTAAATTCAAAACTCTCGTCCTCTAGATTTCTGTAAGTTTAAATAAAACAAAATTGCATTTGATTTTAAACTTGATGAACCAAGATCCTCAATGTGGTAGGTGGCATACACCCCCTAAAGATGAGTCTTTGAATAAATCACTTAAAATAAACTGTAATGGTACATAAGAAGTAGAAAATTAAAATGAACTAAACATCACAACTTTAAGATGGGCTAATTAAAGTTGCATAAAAAATCTACAAAGAAATAACTGCAACATACATGTGTATGGAACCAAGCTTCGTTATCCCTTATGGATTTATCTTATTCTAGAAAAAGACCTTTTAAATCTCAATTGGAGTTGAATTTACACTATGATAATGCATATATAATCTCTATTTCAGCATTGCAAATAGAGTAGATAAAAGGGAATGCTCACAATGAACACAGAAAGCAAATCACACATAACACAGCATATGTTCCATAGACAAAAACTTAGAAATCAGAAGCCATCAATTTCAATTTCAAGTATGTCAATGAAGACAATAATCACCTGTCCTTGTCGGAATCCGTTAAGAGGCTAGGGTTGAATCCTTAAACCTACCCACCATTGTCATGGTCCATGTGTAATCTAATCGAAGTCCTAGAGGTTGTCAACGTTTGTTGCGTTGAGGTTGCCGACATCATCTGTTGGCAGTAGCAGACAACTTACCTGATAAATAAATTTAGATTGAAATAGAGTCATGTACTATTTTAAAGCAAGTAACATTTTTTAAAGAGATGTATTCCAAGCAAATCAATGAGAATGGTAAATCTTTTGGAAAAAATAGCAATCTTCAAAAAAAACATACCCGGAATTTAATAACTCTTCATAATGTGTTGTATAGATATGTTGAACTGTAAAGCCAGAGAGGTCAGACATGGTCCCTGTTCAGATATTCAACCTTAAATGTTAAGTGAATATTGATTTAGCATAACATAGAAGTATTTGAATTAATGAAACGCCAAAAAAACATGTTACTCCATATAATAGAATATTTTTTGAAGATAAATTACTTAATTACTTATTCTCATTCTTCTAAAAAACACACTAAAGAAGATATTGCATACTACGTATAATCTTGATTTGCACAAACTCATTAGGTCAACCCGCCTGTTCCTCATTTCACGTTACAAATAGGTGATTATGGACAGACAATTATATGAACAATGCAGACCGGAGCGTAAAATAATAGGTCATTAACATTGGATGATGTACAAATCATATCATTTTCATTTAGGGACTATGACAGTGTTTTAGGGGCGGAGGAAGAAATATTTTCATAACATTGGATGATGTACCAATCATATTATAATCATTTGAATATCAAAACTATATTGGATACAAAAATAAAAAGCAAAAAAAGAAAAAGTGGAACAAAACAACTAAAACTATATTAAAAAAGGAGTTCATTGTCATTCATAAATAAATTGAGCTCATTAATGAATTTTATTTTTTGAAATTAAAGTAAATATGTTAAATCTCAAACAAAGAATACATCAAAATATTTATCTCCACCAACCAACCAAAGTATTATTAACAGAACACCTCAAAACAGATACCTAAACCACTACTTTCTAAAGCTTCGCTTTCTTTATCATATGAGTATTGACATGAATCTTACTTCAATTGATGCATTCTTTTACCGTCATATGCTTCCCCCCATGTTTCTTCTTATTTATATAGCAACCGGTAGTATAAGCTGCAACCGCAATCTGTCCCTCATTTCTTGAAGAGATGTTGCCACCAAGTCTGATCCCACACAAAAATACATTTTCTTGGACACTTCTTTAACAAATTGACTTAAAGAAAAATGTTCAATATCCTCTCTCAAATGTTTGTCCCTTGAAGGAAAAACAACAAATTGTAACAATATGTTCTTAAAAACTAACAACTTCATAAGTATTAAAAAATGAATTAAAAACAATTAGTAGTGATTAGGACTTGAGATTTTAGATGAAGCAACTAATATCTGAAATGCAAAAATGATACCAAATAACTTTCACATAGTCTAGATCGCCCAAAACTTTGCAGCTACTTCAACTTCCTACATACTACAGGCATTGCATATGTCAGACTAAGACAACAAAAAGATAAGAAAGTGCAAAACCTTCACAAAACAGGAAAGTGGCACATAAATCTGGTGAACCACAAAAAAACTAAACTCTAACTTGCAACAGAAAATATTACACTCAAATTTATAATTGCAATGATTAGCTTAATCTGAATAAGTCTAAACGTGTTTAAGCGCACAGGAATTGGACAAAATTAAGGCCCCTAACACATGCTGGTACCAACTGCAAATATTTTAATGTTTCAACCTTTTATGTCTAAGATATATTTTTGATAATGGACCTAATACAGTAATACAAAACAAAAAAATTGATGATAAAAAGAAGTAAACCTAAAAAATTCCATGCAATAGGCCAGTGAAGTATTTGTAGTGGAAAAGAGACCATCTGTAAGTGATTTGTCTTATTGATCCAAATGATAATTTGGGGGCAATCGTCCCAGAAAGCCTATGACATGTATCAAAACTTCCAAATTTATACTATGCACTAACATAACATATTGAGTAATGATTATATATATAGTATATGTAGAGTGATCGATGTGCCCATGCATAGTTGATTCATATTTTTTTTCTTGAAAAACCTTAAATGAATTGTTGGTTGCTAAAATAACATCAACATTAAAATAGTACTTGTTTAAAAGCAAATAATCATCAGATAACCAAAATGAGCTTCACGGTTAGCCACT